CCATAAAATTTCAATAAATACAGAGAGACAGTTGAGCCTAGGATATAGAGAGTGAATTTTAAATATTCCTGTTGGTTGTAGGACATTTTTTTTCAAATTCGTGAAAAAATGTCTGCTTTCAAATGGCAATAATGCCATTCCGATTAAATTTCAACGATAAGAAACAGATCTGCATTTTTCGACCCGAAAAAAGAAGTCAAGATTCGGTAGGTTTTTCGCATATTCCCAATTATTTTGTTAAACGCGCACAATTTGCACAGGAAAGTACACCTCTTAGAGAAAATTTTAAGCCCAAGATGGGTCACGTAAGTGTAATACTGTATGATTTACTGAAACTTGAAAAAAATGTATTTTTTTTTAGAAAAACAAAATTTTTGCAAAAACTATCAACTATTTTGCAATTTTACAAAAATGCACTCATTCTACTTGCCAAAGATTACATATTCCGAAATTTTCGTAAAAAAGTCTTTTTTCGTTTTAAATATATAGAAGTTTAAAGAAAGTGCGCTTTTTAGCCTTTTTTTGCAATAACTAATACATTTGTTTATTAATTGACATCGGGCTTTTTCGTATTTACTGAACTAAATTTCGGCAAAAAACGAGGTATTTTTTGGATAATTTGACTGGCCTATATGGACCGTAATCGTTTATGCATGCGCATCAACAATTACACGTTTGCCAAGTCCTGCGTCAAGGGAATTATAATAGAATAAGAATTAACCAAATATTAATTTCGTAATACAAAAAATTCAATAACAAATACAATCATAAAATTTAAAATCGTACTATTTAAAAAGCAAATTACCTCAAAAATAAACTCAACAAGCAAACTTTCATCTAATCATTGAAAAATAAAGTACTTATAAACAGTTGGTTATTACAAAATGCGTTTAGTGGACAACCTGTCAAGCTAAAGTTGTGTTATATCCACCCCATCGACATGTACACAACCATAATCGACACTCACTGGAAAATTAACTATACAGGGTGTCCGGTAAGTACCTCCTAATCTCTCGGGAGTGTATAGGGGAGGTCAAAATAAAACTAGTCCTTCCTATAATTTTTTTCCTAATGTGCCCCCTAACGGAGTTATGGGGGGTCAAAGGGGTACCTAGAAATTAACGTTTAGGGTTATAACTTTGAAACCACCCTGTATATTTTAATAAAATTTTCGTACGTTGTATTACACATGGAGCTCTACGATTTGATGCTAAAATCAACTTTTTGCTATTATCAGGTGTCCAGAAACGGACTGGCCCTATCACAATTTTTCTCAAAATTTTGACAGAAGTAATTTTATCAAACTGAAAATATTATTATTAGATACTCTGAAGGTTTTTCTTTAAAAATGGTACTCTTTATTTATTTCGAAAAAATGAACGGTTTGCGAGATAAATCGGTTTTGAAAAAAATTGGTAACAAATACAACAACAATTAAAATTTATTTTTTT